GGGGGAAAACAGAATTTTTAGGGATGAAAATGTCACACTAACACCATAGAGTCCCTAATGTCTGCCATTAACCAATGCCATTAAAGTGTTGAAAAGAATGTTCTTAGGGTATGGGATAGGTAGGCTGTTAGTTGGGAGGGGGGCAGGGGAGGAAAAGAGGGAGAGGGAACTAGGATTAACATGTAAAACAATCTTGTTTCTAATTTAAATGAAAAATGGAGAAAAAAAGGAATGTTCTTGCTTCTTATGGGCTCACATGAGATTCTGGCTGAGCTTATACTGGGAAAAAAAGAACTCTGTCATCCCATCCCCACCTCAACAAATCTAAGTACCTTGCTACGGACAAGTTGTCTGTGTTTCTCCAGACAACTGCATTTGTTGTGGTTTGGGAACTAATACCATGCACGTCTTGTGGAAGTTTGTTTAAAACGCCAATTCTCAGACCCTACCCCACACATACTAAATCAGAGTCTCTGGGGATGAGGGCAAGCAAAATGTTCAGATTCGTGTTGGTATGTCGGGGGATACACATGCACATGACTGTAGAGGCCAGAGGACAACCTCTGGTGTCATTCTTCGAGCACTGTTCACCTTTTCCAAGAGAGCTGGCTCATGCTCTCTTGGGTTGTGGAGAGCGTCAGAAGAGCAGAGACTGCAATCTCTTATTGGCCTGGGAGTCCCCAAAGAGACTAAGCTGACTGTCCATCAATACTAGGGATCCTCCTCTCTCCACCTCCCAAGTATTGGGATTATTAGCAAGCCACCATGAATGGCTTAGTTGGGTCCTGGGGATCGAGCTCATACTTGTCAAGCAAGCACTTCAGTGGCTGAGAAATCGCCCAGTCCCCAGTCCAGATGATTCTGGTGAACAAGAAATTTAAGAAGTATGATTCACTGGTTTGTTTTCCTTTTGGTACCAGGAAATTCACTTTGAAGAAATGATGGTTATGCACCCAGGCAACATATTTCCCAGCATGCCCTGCAGCAAAGGAGGTCAGTGATGTTCATGTGGAAGTAACTGGGAGGGGCCCCAGTAGAGCAGGTTTGAAAGAGCCTGGTTTAACTGGGAGAATTGACCTAGACAAAAAAAAAATAAAAATAAAAAAGACAGCATCCTACTAGGCCTTGTTGCACAGTCCTAGCTAGCACTGTAGGCGGCTGGGCCACATCTGCCAACCTCTCAAAGTGCACATATGAAGAAATAAGAAAGGTAGAAAGGATACCGTCGCCTTAAAATGCAGAAGAGACCTGGGTACCTGAAAATGATTTCTAACCTCGGTTCTTAAGAGGGTCACTTAAACTTATTTTTATTGTTTTTGCCATGAGCCAATATCCAGGGAACCCAGAGAATGGAATTATTTATTACATGATCTCAAGTTCATGGGCTACACATTTCAGAAACAGGACATCTCTTTCACTAATTAGTTTTAATAAAACAAAAGATCAAAAATCAGCATCAGGAGATAACACAATGCAGCTGAGACTGTTGAAAGTAATGACTCCCAAATTGACCATCATAAAATACATCATGAACCAGGGACAGTCTTGTTCAATGAGGGAATGGTTCTTCCTTTTCACCTTCTATTGATGCCACTAGGAGTCTCTCAGGGAAAAATAAAAGATGGATGGCTAAGAATATTGTACATTATCCTCCAATGACCTGCCACAGAGACTATTTTTAAAGACTTATTCATCTCATCAGGAATGATAGCAGTTATGAAGTGGCCAGGTACCGTGACCAGATAATCCTTCATAAGAGAGGTTGCAGACTACGGCTGCATCCTTCATATGGCCCATGTGATGGATGGGATGGGAATTGCCCTTGGTTGGTTTAAGGATCCATAAATGTAATGTAGAAGACAGAGCTTAGAAACTAAACAGAGTTAACCTACAAATGGCTGCAGCCACCCCTGCACTCAAAAATTAATAAGATTTTAAGTTTTACAAGATCCATCTGGCTGGAAATGTAGACTCTGTCTTGTACATTTCTTAAGTGGTAGCTGCTCACTGAGGTGTATTATCCCCTTAAAGCATACTGTTGTGAGGGATTCATAATCACAGATTTACACAATTCTCTCATGATCCTAGCCGATGCATTCCATATCACAAAAAAATAGGAAAGGATATTGCAGCTATAGTACAGAAAGTCTCTCGTTATCAACAGAGTGTTGTGTTAGTTAATGCCTATAAAACACCAAGAGAAGCAGTAATACATTCTGTATATTTATATATATATTTATATTTGGGGGAATCAGGGTGTCACATCAGAGCTGATGTGGCATCTTCCTGCCCTATACAGAAGGTAAGGGAGGTGTAAAGAGGTGGGGACCAGAGAAGCAGAGTAAAAATGTTAGCAAGACTTGAAGATGGGAAGGAAGGTCTCAAAAAATTCACTCCTTTCCCCTTCTGACTTAAACTCTGGAGGATTACAGAAAGATGACTTCAACTGTCATGGAGTCTACACATCCCACAAAACTGAAAAAACACTCAACATAGCCATTAGTCTCATTTAGATTTGGGGAGGTTTATGATAGGCAAAGTTTAGCACTTTACGGCTCCTGGGTGTGTTGCAAATAAAAAGAGCCAACTAGTTCTTACAGATTGATGTTCCCCAGGCCCAGGCAAGCAAAGCTCTAGTGATAGGAACCCCTAGCTCCTTGTCTCTACCACTGCTAGATAGTCCTGATGAAAAAAAGTTGTCCTTTCAACATCAAGTCAAGACCTCCGATGTAAGGCTAACACCATCCGAAACAGTTTGTCCTGACTTCCTCTTCCCATCCACTTCCACATTCAAGTTCCAAACTGGATCTCAGGAAAGATTCCTTAAAGCATTGAAGAAATGGATATATTTAACATCCATCACTCCCTAACTTCCACACTAACAGGGTCTGTTTCAAAAGCCCTGGACCAGGATGTAGAGCATAGATTTCTTGTAGGTCCTGAACATCATAATAAATGTTCATCATGCTCTCCTGCTAAATTAAACAGAAAGAACTCACACTTCGAAGAACTTTTTCCCAACCTTAGTCAGTTGCCTGTGTTGTTTTAGTCTCTATAAAGAGAGAGCCAGCAGCCATAAAACTCTTACTGCTGCTTCTGGGTAAATGGCAGAGTCAGATGGCCCTGGATTTGAGCTTCACAAGTGACCAACCTAAGAGAGAAAAGTAACTGCCCCACTAAATTGAAAAGTTCCAAGGTGAAGGAAACTTGCTCATGGCTTGCTTAGTGCATCCTCTTGACAGCAAGCTCGATGGCTGTATTAAAATTGTGCTCAACTGTCATCCAATTGCACCAAGTTTCCTAGGGCCTAGAATGGCAAGTCCTCCCCAAATATGGCTAAAATGCTGGCAACATTAGCAGCTACCATCTGTGAAAATAAAACCTCAAAACTGTTATATACAAACTTAGTTTACAGCATACACATCTTTAGGGTTTTCTGACTGGAGCAAAATCATAAATATCATTCTTAATTTATCACCTCTTCATCGTGCAAAGTTGAGGAAGAAAAGTCAGTCGATACAGAATTTGCTTAAATATTTGGTTTTCCTATATCAGAGTATCTTCAGTACTACTGTGCCAATTTAAAATGGAAAATATGATAGGTGATACTTTCAAAATCAAATATGTATCCTGTTCTCCTAGCCCAGTCTTCATGTGATGACCCCAACTCCCAACTTAGGCAATCTGCTAGGTCACAGGGCTCCTGGGAACTATGTGGAGGAGCTTAACTGCAAATGTATATCCTGTTCTCCTAGCCCATTCTTCATGTGATGACCCCAACTCCCAACCTAAGCAATCTGCTAGGTCACAGGGCTCCTGGGAACTATGTGGAGGAGCTTAACTGTTTGTTGTCCTCGATTTCAGTCTGAAATGCAAATAATTCCTTGCACCTCATTTAGAGAAACACATACTCCTTGCTCACTGTATGTTTGCTGGAGGCTCCTCCCCCTCCCTGCCTTGGATGGAGAGACCTGAAGCTAAGCACACAGCTCTGGGATCCTAAGGGTGACTCAGGGCACCCCTAGTCAATCACCTGAGTTACAAATGTATTGACAACTGGAGTGGGTCCTAAACTAGGGGTAGCAAAGTCCATTTCTCCTCCTGTGCTGTCCATGGTGTCCATGGACAGTGAGAGGTGGGAGGCGTGGCTGTGCTGGAGTGTCTTGGAGAAGATCATCCCATCTTTCTCCCAGTGGGTTGTTCACATCAGGACCTGCTCTCGGGTCTCTGGCAGTCGAAGGGCAATCAGGCCCCCTCCAACCAGAGAAGCAGCAGCCAGAAGGATGGGGACCACTTTGGTTATCCCAACAAAAGAAGCAAAGATAGTGTTTCCCAGGATGGCGCCAAATTTGCACAATCCATTGAGGATGCCAAAGGCTGTGGCCCTGCAAAAGAAGAGCACAGGAAAGAATTCTGAAGTCCTGGGCCTCACTAGATGAGCCGCACTAGGTTGTTACCTTGTCATAAGAAGAGGAAGTGTGGCAGTGAATTTTTTACCTATATATAAAAACAACGTCTTCATTTTAGCCAACATTAGAAATGCAGAATAATATAAAGATGTAAGGACATCTAAACTAATAACCACTATTAACATTTTTAAGTATTACCTTCCAGTTTCCTTATCTTCCCAAGCATATCTCGTATTAAAATAGTTATAAGTAGTACTGGCTTACAGGAAAACATCAAAAAAAAAATAAGCTGCATGCAAAATGAATTCTGAGTGCACCACCTTCACTACACTCTCAGGACAAAGACTGCTAGCTCGCCCTGAAAAGCAGGTACCCAAGTGTAAGACTACACTTCCCAGAGTTCCCGGCTGCTGGTTGTGTGGGCGTGACTTAGTTTAGGCCAATGAGACCTGATGTGCAAGCGGCAGCTACTGAGAAATTTCCTGAGAAAGGTTCTGAGTGGGCTTTTTGCTCTCTCTTCCTTTATTTTCCTCCCTTTTGTCTTACTTCCTGCAACAGAGATGGTCTGTGGTGGAATACAGGCAAGGGACAGTAAAAACACAGGAGCTTAGAACATCTGCTCAAGCTGCTAATGGAGAGGAAATGCAATGCTGTTTGGAGTTTCTGTTGTCCATCATCATCAAGAACCACACAGTCTGTCCTGACCCTGGCTGTATACGGTAGCAGTTCTCAACCTGTGGGTCGCGACACCTTTGGGTGTATCCCCTAAGACCATAGAAAACACAGAGATGTATGTTACAATTCTTAACAGTAGCAGAATTACAGTTATGAAGTAGCAACGAAATTTATTTTATGGTGGGGGGAGGAACTGTATTAAAGGGTCGAAGCATTAGGAAGGTTGAAAACCACTGGTATACAGGGGCAGTATTCTCAAGATGGTCATTCCCTGGTGAAGTGAAATGTTTCTCTTTTATATCAAAAGTTTAGAGATATTGGGACTGCTTTACAGCTACAGATCTTGTTCTACTTCTATCTATACCTGAACAACATGACAGTTTTATAAGTTCCAGCCCCAACCTAGCCTTCTTTTATATCAAAAGTTTAGGGATATTGGGACTGCTTTACAGCTACAGATCTTGTTCTACTTCTAGCTATACCTGAACAACATGACAGTTTTATAAGTTCCAGCCCCAACCTAGCCCTTCTGTGTTTGCTTTAATTTTTTTTTTCTATTGCCATGTGCAAGTGTTTCTAAATAAAATTTAAAATGATGTTTTTCCCAACTTTCCAGGGGAGGAAAAGTCTCCCTGAATTTTGAATGCACTATTGTAACTTGGAAAAACTGAATGAAACTTGACATTTTTATAAGATGAAATCGTCTTAGCCACAATAAGCATGTCTTGATTTCTATTTTATGTCGGCTTTTATATTGCAGTAAAAGTTTATGGCTTTATTCATGAATGTTTCGGGTTGGTTTCTAGATATTTTATGACTTCTACTATTATCAGGTATATTTTGATAGTATTTTTAACTTTTTTGATATATCTAAACACATTCTAAGATTTTTTTGTTCACCTATTGTTTCTAAGTGTATCTTTATTTCCCTCTCCTAAAACCACACTCCATTCAATAATGACCACTATCCTGTCCCTTACTATTTGTAAAACTTAGCATTCTGTTGCTCAGGAAAGGAGCTTCCAATATGGTATGGGGTCACAACCATAGCCATCGAAACCCCAGACACTCTGCCATTGACTTTAGGAATGTCACTAAAAGACTTTTCAGAGTTTCATTTACCCATCCTCTGTACCACGCCCAGTCCTTATGAGCTGTTCCTTACCTGCTGTACTTACAGCTCAAGGTCCCCTTCATGAAGAGAAATACCTACTGGGTAACGGCCTTGACCCTCTGCTTTTAAACCAAGAGTAAACCCTGGCCATCCTGGACCACTCTGCCTCTACCCACCTTCTCTTCCTTGCTGTCCAGCCCCACCCCCATGCTGTTCCAAATCTTCACCTCTTCACCTTAGTTTCCATTGGCAGGGCTCAGCTGCCATGAGGACTGGGAGATACACAAGGCTTTATCCACTCATCACCCTTATCCTGAGACACTTTATTCTTGTCCCTTGGTTCTTGTCCCTCACTCATCTTATCAAGGCCAGCCTGCCAAGGTCCAGCTGTCACAATCTTGGAGAGAAAAATTGTTTGTCCAGGAGACATGGACTCCAGGAAGACCAAGGCTGTGTGTGGTGTAAGATTAGGCAGGAAGGAGGCTTCTGGCCAAAGAAACATGAGTCCTATAGGGAAATCCAGGGAAGAACCAACCTCTGGTTGGTGGGATACAGCTCCACTGTGATCACATCCAGAGCATTCCAGGCTGCGATGCTGGTCCCACAGAACAGGCATTGCCAGCCGATCATTGCAGACTCACTGTTGCCAAAAAACAGGAAGAAGCAGCAGACTGCTGAGATGAGCATGGAGCCACCTATGGAAACACGACAAGGGTCGGAAAAAAAGTGACGCCTATGTCCTAGAGTCTGTCCCCACAGAATCTTCCCACCTCCCATCATCACAGACTCGGCTGAAGTAACATGTTACTTGAGTCATTAGGTCCATCTTCCACTTGGAAAGAGCTCAAATGGAAAGAACAAACCCATACATACTTTAAAAACAATTATATATAAAGACAATTATACACACATGGAAATGTAAATATTGACATACACTCATGGAAAAAGTAGTTGTACTACATTTATATATGACTCGAAATTTAAGATTTTAAAATGTAATTTTTTTAAAGAAATGTAAAATAAAAATTAAGAACCCATACTCGTGTAGCTTAGATTCCAATATGAACACATCTGTGAGTGGGCTACAAAGGGAAAATTCCAGAGGGACTGTTCTTCTGCTTCTTTGCTTATGACCTGTTCTGGTTTGGATTTTTTATCCCCCCCCCCCAAAAAAAAGAACATGTGTTGAATGAAGGGTTAGCTACAAGGCAGCAAAAGCCAGAGGCGGGACTTCTGGAGGGAGCACTCTGACCTTGTAGCTTAATAGAGTCTAAAGGAGGAGCTTTTTAATAAAAGTAAGCCTCTCTGCTCCCAGGCCACCATGAGGTGAGCGGCTTTGCCCTACCACAAACTGCTTGCCATGACGCTCTGCCTAAACACAAACCCTAAGACAATGGAGTCAAAGGATCATGGATGGAAATCTCTGAAGTCAGTAATCAAAACTCTCTCTCCCTTGTAAGTGGAAAGGCTAGGGTATTTTGTCACAGCAGCAGAAATACAACTTGGACACTCCTATCTCCATCCCAGAGATTTCTCTGCCCTCACTGCCTGATTGCAACCCTCTGAGAGGTTGATCCACAGGAACCAAAATCACTAGTATAGGCAGAGAGGCGGGAGACTGTTCAGTGACACCCATCCCCTCTCAGAAGCTCCATTTTTGGAAATGGCTACATCCCTCCAAGAGCACAGCTTCTTCCTTCCAGGTTATCCTTCAGAGCTGTTTCACTGGGCTCTGTGGATGCTGTTTCTCCCCCCTGGTTCCTGCTACCACAGGGTGACAGCTGCCTCATACTTTTGCCAGTGAGAGTCATGCCTCCCCCATTTGTCCTCCCAAGTCTGGCCACACATCTAAAGCTGCCCATCAGCCATGTCTTCACTAGGCCAACCCCTGGAGAATTCTCCGACTAGGGATCCCACTGATAGAGCTGGTGATAAGAGGCCCCATTTAAAAGGGGCCATGCAAACCATTTCCAAACTCAAGGAAGTCCACTCAGGAGAGCTTGGGAAGCCTACTGTTGGTTCTGGTCATGTGAGCGCAGACTACAGGCTGGAAAGGAATGAAGTAGGGCGGGGCCAAAAGAAAGAAAGCAAAAGAAGTGGGTTCCAGTAAGTAAGTGGATGAGCCCCTCCCCGCCTTGCCCCCCAGCATTGGGACTGTGGGAAAGAGTATTCTCCTTGCCAGGAATCCAAATGCTGATTTGACTCTAACAAGAAATTACTTCCTGATGGTTCCTCACCCTGGAAGCACACCACGACCCCGGGACTTGGAGGGAGCCTGGCTAAAGTGCTTGGGAATGATAAGCATCCTGGCAAAACTGCACTTCAGGTTCTTTCTAACAGCCAGGAGAGGAGTGTGAGGTAAGGAGAGTCTTGAGAACAATTCTCTCTAAACACATGCTCTCCTCAGCAGGACCAGTGTGAGGCTTAGCTAATAAATTCTAATGAATAAAACACCATTGTCAAATCAAGCAACAGTCAAGAAGAGCTTCCTTGACTCTGTGTTAACTGTACCTACCTTAGAACCTTAGGGCCCAGTGCCCTTTCACTCCCATAATCCTGCCTCCTTATCTAATTAAGAGGTCTGAGTTCAAATTCAGCCTCACCACTTCTAATCTGTGTGACTCTGAGTAGATCATTTATCCTTTCTGCTGTATCTCATTTTCCCATCTGTAAAATGTTAATAAAAAGAGTACCTACCCCACGGGGTTATGTTACGTGAAGGTTCAAATACATTAATGCTTATGAGATGCTTGGAACCCAGCCTGGAGGATAATAAGCATCCCAGCCTTAGTTAAATGAAATCTCTAGCTTGTGTCTGTCTCTCTCTATCGTTTGCTCTTTAAACATGAGGATGTTGACAGTCTCAATTACTGTTATATTCCCATTGCTTCCTCCTCAGTCTGGCACAGAGTAAGAACTATTTAAACAAATGTTTATTAAATGAATAAATGATTGAGCAACAACCTCATTAAGAGAACTTCTACACTGTCCTTAATAAGAAATGACTCCAACTAGACAAGAGCACCAAGGAGTGAGCAGGACAAAGCTGCAGCAGCTGTAGCAGCCAGGCTGCTCCCTGAATCCCATCATGACTGGGTGGAAGGAAGTTCACCAAGCAAGCGACTAGCCCTCCTTATGAACTGAGAGTGCTGTAGCTGGTCCATGGCCCCAGGCCTCCTTTCTCTAAAGG